GAGGAGGATGGAGTCCATGGCAGGACTCTCTCAGATGATGTTAGCTGACACGTGAGGCTCAGGATGCGCTTCTGGGAGTTCTTATCCTCTGAAAGAAAACCCTGATGGGGAAACAAAGCAAAGCTCAGCACAGCTGGCAAGATAGTTTTGCAAAACAGGAAAGGATGAGGAAGAAGGGAGGGGAAATTACCTGTTACAAGTAATGACAGCACGAGTGACCATGTCCAGTATCTTGCAATCGGCAGCACTTACACAAAAGCGGACGTAGAAGAAAATCTGACCGTTGGGCAGGGTGAGGGGCAGTGTGGTCAAACGGGTCCGCTGCTCTCCGTCTCAGCATGGGTGGGGTCTTCACGGAGCAGGTTAGACACTCTGCAGCTGGAGACAGAGGCTGGTGCCAGGCTGGGCTTTTGCTGTGGGTCTCCCCACCTTTGGAAGCAGAACAAACCGTGGCAGGACAAGTCAGTGGAGAAGGGAGCTGGTGCTGGAGACAAGCACTCAGTTCTCTCCCCCAGTCTTGTTAGACTTGGTACTAAAGAGGTTGCTACACTCAACTGGGGAAACAAATCTGCCCCCAGGATTGTCAAAGCAAGTCCAGCGGTGCCGAGGCACACCTCAGGCTTGTTTATTGAACTCTTACTAGTAGCTACCTTTAATAAGTACTAATAGCCTTGGATTATTAGGTGAAGATCTTTAGAGTGAAGCAAATAAAAAGAACCAAATAATTTCTTTAGGAATGTAGATCATTTGATCACAACTTTCTTTTTCTGTTGAAGGTATGAGCAATTCGGATGTGATGGTTGCTCTTCAGCGTGGGTACCGAATGCCACGCATGGAAACCTGTCCAGCTGAGCTGTACGATATCATGAAAACGTGCTGGAAAGACAAAGCGGAAGAGAGGCCAACGTTTGATTATCTACAGAGTGTGCTTGATGACTTCTACACAGCAACAGAAGGGCAATATCAACAACAGCCATAGAACAAAGAACAATTGTTTTCTATTGACATGGCTCATTAGCACAGACTGTTATCTGGACAGAGCGCTCAAACCAATTACTTCACGAGTTTGGATGTCTTAACCAACTGTGGAAGCTGAAATCCTGAAGGAAAGAGTACTTCTGCAGAGAAATAATCACGGCTCTCTTTGGCTAAAACGGTTCCTCTAAAGATTGAAGTTCTCCTTAAATGCTCTGTTTTGCATCTGCAGAAACATCCCAAACCAAGCAGGCTTTTGGGGTGGGGAGGGAGAAGGAAGGAAAGCCATCATGCACTGGCACAGTCCGACAAAGCCTTCTCAGGATCTAAGTCATGGAACACATCACAAGGAGACCTTTGTAAAAGGCACAAGAAGATGCAGGAACAGCCGTTTCCAAAAGAAAAAGTCATGAAGGGAGAACTTAAAGATTTAAGATGGGTGGTGTTCTTAAATCATCTTTTTTTGAAATACAGTATATTGTGAAAATTATTTTTATATCCTTGTTATTTCACAGCAGTAGTTGGAGTACTGTCAGCTCTTGTAAGTCTTTCTAAATGGTGTCGTGGTTTCCTTTAAGGAAGGGCTCTGTATGTCATTCTCTACCCTGAAGATGATTCTGGTTTAGTGCTGTATTACCAATATTAAATCTAAAATCATTTTCAAAGCATGGCACAACCCTCACAGATGCAGAAGTGAAGTGCAATACGAACACACGATGGCAGAAGCGGCAGCACACCCAGCTCTGTGTTCAACCTTCAGTTTCCCACAAGGCCAAAGTCATTATCTGAAGTCTATGGGCAAGCACAGGATGTCGAAGGAAGTGAATACTTTCATTACAGTCACTGAGACTGTTACCAGTGAAAATATTTTAATCTTAATTTTTAATCCTCTGTGATTACACAAGAATATTCTGTATATTTTTTTGCTGCTTTAATCAACTAACCTCAAATCTCCTTTAAAGCTAAAACTAGCTCTAGCACTGTCAAAAATGAATTTGTGGGAATACGCAATAGGATATCAAGTTCCACGGCAGTGACACTATAGGTTTGTTGCTCAGACTATAAATCTAATTAATAAAAGTGGATGCAGTTTGCTAAGCTCTATCTATTGAACTGTTCTACCAAATTACTCCCCAAAACAGCTGAGCTAGTGCAATTGCAATGTAACTACAGCATAGATTACTTCCCCCCCCGCCCCAAAATGACACTGGTTCTTACAGCTGAAACCCAGTACATCTTTGCCACACCTCAGCCCAATTACAGAGGCAGATGGTACTGTGCAGAAGCTTGAAACCCTTTTGAATAAAGCATCAGTGTGCCTGCAGTTGAAGTTCAGCAGCATAAATACGAATTGCTTTCCTTTTCCATTGGCTTCCTTCAGTCCAACTGTGCAGACTATCAGTTAAATTTGTAAATAGTTTCTATTGTATGGTGATTTTTAATTTTAATAAAACACTTAATCTGAAGCAAGTTGTATGGTAGTAATTTGAGACAAAACAAATGGCTGATGCTCTGTCCAGAGGGGTAGCCTGAACAGGGGAACATCTGTTCAGCATCACTAACAAACAAGGATCTTTTGCAGTGGTAAATATTAATGATTGCTGCTTTCTTTACATCCATTGAGCTTTGAGAAGCTGACAAGGACTGAACCAGCCATTTCTGTGTCCTGGTTAGGATTTCTTTTTGGTGTGGAGGGCAGGAAGGGATGAAGTCAGTCCTCAGCTGTCCTTTAAAACAGCTTCGCAGAAGTCTTAATTGTAATAGCAACGCAGTCCACTGCAACTCTTTGGAAAACGTTACAGTTAAGAATCGGTCAGTACTTCATTACAGGCTTCATTTTATTTTAAGAAAAAAAAAATAAAAGCTTAAGATAATATAGCTTTGTCTTTCAAACCATTTCCTCTAGCCCACCAAAGAGCTCTGGGAAGTAGGAGGGAACATGGAAACAGCAGTTCCTCAGGGAATAAGAGGTAATAGTGCTACATAAACCTGCTAACATACCCTCTCAGCCTGTCAAGGTGTAATACCGTTTCAAATGAAATGGTGCTACAGAAAGTTTCCAGCATTTGCCTGTTTTGATGATTTCTTTTTTAACTTTGTTTTAATATTGCTGGCCTTAGAGCAATTTCTAAATAACAGCTTTCTTGTTCAGGGGATCAACATTCAGTGTATTGTAGCACTCCAAAATATTTTTTAATAGCTGGAATAGTTTATAGGGGAGTAAAATAATATTTTAGAAATTCTACCCTGGAGGGATTATAGACCTTTAGAACTACCGGAGCTAGATGATAACCTATATTTAACAGAAACAGGTCAAAACACAAGAACAGCATCAGCTCAAGTGCTACATCTCCAGCCTGGTTAAAGACATTGCAGAGTGATTATTATAACCCAAAACTCACAAGACATGGCAAGACCATTCACAGCAGAGAAGGGCTGTTCTGGGTGTCACCCAGGAAGGCTACACCACTGCATGGCTCCACAGGAAGGGGGAAGTTCTTGCTCTGAACTGGGTCCACTTCCCTTCAGAGAAACAGCACTACAGCAGATATTTTCTTCCCCTCTTAAATATGTTTATAGCAGAGGCAGTACCACCCTCGCTCCTTCAGGAACCACCCCTGCTACCAAAACCCCACTGCAGAAACCCAACACAACCCATTTTCCTCACCTTTACAAAAATGAACAGTAAGAGCTTAATTTATCAATGGAAAATATTATAAATTGATTTTTTCAAAGTTTAATGCATATTCTTAGTGGAAATTCAAATGATATTAAACTGAGGCCCTTTGCAAAGCCCAGTTAGCTGAAAAATAGCAAGGAACCAGATCAGACCTCCTTTTGTTGCCTCTTTTATGAGGCCTTATGTTTAGCAATTTGCTCAGTTTGGTCCCAAGATGGCAGTTTCCAGGTCAAAGCCAGAATATTAACTACTAGAAAACCAAGCTATTTTAACTACTTGAGATGAAGTGTACAAGCCACCTGATTTCTAGGAATTAACAATGAAAATGAAATACTTTATTTAAAAAAGGTAACAAGAGCAACAGATCAAGAACTGTCCACTTTGCACGAATCGCACATTTATCAGTATTCAAAGACCATGATAGCAGTTACTCAAGAATTAAAATTATATATATCTATTTCTCAAATCACATCCCTATATCAACAGTAAAAGCACAAGTTTAGGTCTATACTTGCATAGCTCTAAATTCAACCCTGATTCAATTAAAACAGTTCTGTATGAAACATTTTTCTGTCAGTTAACATGACAGCGAAGACAGTATTTGAGGGTGAGGAAAAGCTACCAACAGTTTAAGATTGATAAAGCAGCCCAGTAGTTGCACACTGATTAATCAAATATTATTCTTTTGCTTTATAAGCCAACATTCTTGTTCTCTTGAAGGGGATGAAGCACCTTCATACTTCTCCCAGGCTTTACCAAGACGTGTACTAGCAGTGGCTGCTACTGTAGATTTCAGGTTAGCCAACAAACCTCTCCTGGGTTTTTGTTGTTTTGGCTCCTCTATAGAGAAATGCTTTTTCTGTTCATCAAGTTCTTTTTGCAAGGAAGACACTGTTTCTTCAAGCTCAAGAACACGTTTAGCCCAGTTCTGAAGACTACTCATTTCTTGATCCTATTAGGATAAGGCTGTGTTAGGGATATGAACACTCCAAAGTCTTTTTCATGTAGTTAATTTTCCATTTCAGATTATTTTACCACACTAGTAAACACCCCTGTTATTATTATGCCAAATGGCTATTCAGTACCCATTTCTTCTGAATGACTTCTGTGTAATTTAGAGAGCAGCAAACTACAGGGCCAGCAGCTCTAGTTAGAGACTAAGCCTGACTGAAGAAGCTGATGCTAAGATGCTTAGCCACACTATGCAAAGAACTGCTGTTGTTATAGATCCTCAGGTCTTGTTCCACTAACATTTGTGCACTGACAGCCTGCTTGCCCTCAGCAAAACAACTCATGGCTAGAGTTCCAAGTGGTATTTTCTTTGTTCGACAACATTGTGGCATCTTTAGATTAGCAAGAGTCGTCAGCACAGAGTTACCCTATGACCAAGTCTAGCACTTAAACTGAAAAATTAGTCTTATCTTACAAAATAAGAGTCCAAGGAGTGAAACACAAAGGCTCTGAGCTCATAATTCAGGAAGTTGGGGACAGAAAAAAGGAAAGCAAAAAAACCACAGCTTAAGTAAAAACATTATGCTAACTTCAAAAGACATTAATAAGACCGAATGGTGTTTTCACCTGTACAAAGGTGCAGAAACATCCAGTACAACTATACATAACAAGCCATATTAAAGTTGCTTATAAATTATTGACAAACCTTGAGCATGACTGTATGCTTCAGTTGACTGTTCTCTTCTGCCATCTTTCTGTAGCCTTCATTAGCTTCTAGCAGGGTTTCATTTAATTTGTGTATTTTAAACTTAAGAGATTTTATAAGCTGAAAATAAAACCCATACACACTCAAGTTCAAGGCAGCATGTTTTACATGAATTTTGTTTATGACTAGAACTCATACAGACACTGCAAGCATTTCTGGTTAATATCTAGATGATTGCTAAAAAAAAAACTTTTTACCATGTTTAATGGCTGAATGGGAGGGGAGAAAAAAAGCAGTGAAATACTCATCACAGGTGCACAGATATGCGAGGCAAAGCAGCAGAAGGGCACTGATGGAGCCAACTGCTTTAAACTCCTCTCACTTCAGTTATTGCCATGGAGCAATCCCATCATTCTAACACTTTGTAGCCACACAAAGCAATCAGTATTGTATCCTCATATCAAGCACAAAAGCCAAAGTTTCTTTCTAGCATCAAAATTTGAAATTGACATCGGAAATGGAAAATCATGTAGGGCTCTCAAGAACAGGAGTGGAAAACAAATGCCAAGAGCATAACACGAGACATTAAACTTGGTAAGGAAAATGTTATTTTTGGAGTACAGTTTCTCAATAGAAAGGGATTTAAGTTCACTTTCCATTTACATGG